TTACCAAGTTAGATATGAAGATGTCTTATAGTCAGTCCATGGACCTCACACTTCAAGAGACTCTTGTGCTTTCTACCTAAACCTTTCTTCCAGACTGAGTCAGAAACTAAGCCCTCACATGTACAGTATTGCTCTGTGGCCTACTTTCCCTGCAGAAACTCATTAATGCATACACCAGTCCCTGAGCAGTAGCAATCCAATCTAATTTTAATGAGGGAGTATTTGCTTCCAAAACAAAAATGCTCCAGCCAGTGACTATCTCCATAAAACATCAACATCACATCACATAGGCAAACTTCACGAAGGAAGTCCATTAATGCAGACATCGAAACTGCACATGCGTGTCCTTGAGGGGCTTAAATTGCAAAGCACTCTGCTTTGGATCCTTTTTTTTTTTTTTTTCCTGGTTAGACAAAGCCCACAGTTTTAGCTCCCTCATGCTCTTTTGAATTCACTTTGAGTTATGTGACCTTCATTCCCTTACTGAGTATTTACCGATCATCCCTGAGGCTTGTGTTGATGCTACACTAATGAGCAAGGTAATCAAGATCCCTGGTCTGTGGAACACCTTCTACTTGATGTGTAAACAGAAAATAACAAGAAAGCACATCAACAGACCCCATAAATAAATGCAGATACTGATAGATTGAAGGACCTATTGCTTTAGAAGAAAAAAATGAAGAGAATCCTGGGAAATATTTAAAGAGATGGGAAACAATAAAGAACCAGTCCTGCAAAAACCTGGAGTGTTCCTGACTGTGAGAACGGCTAAAGCAAAGACCCTGCCATTGCAGGAGCCTGAGAGTGAGTGCCCCCCTTAAGTGTGCGTCTACCTTGCTCACCCCAATCCTGACCCTGTATAAAGGCCCTAGAGGGGGAGTTAGCTTGGGGTGATCAAGGTTCAGAAAAAAAGGCAGATGGGATAGGAGCATGATGGATGCAGAAAGTGTGGTGTGAATGAAATCGCAAAGGCAGTTAAGAACCACAAGGTGAAGAGTCTTGTAGGTGATAAATTTATTCAAATATTCGAAACAGCCATGGAAGGAAAAGTATCTGCTTTATCATTTTAAAAGTTCATTCCAGGTTTTGTATGGCTTAATAGATTGTATGGAACATCAAGTATCAGCAAGAGCCCAGCTAGAAGGCGACTCTATCATGTAGGAATGAAGGGAGAGAAAGACCATGACTGGTGAAAGTCTCAAGCAAAAATGCTCAGGTAGCTTTAAGAATATTATCTACAAAGGGTTTAGCTGTAAAAAGCAAGCAAGGAAGGGGATGACAAGGTGGAGGAAGAAAAGAGAACAGAGTTGCTTGGTTCTCTTAAAAAGATTCAGGGTGGGGGTGGTTCGCCCACTTCCTGGTTCCTACATATATCTCTCTGACCCAACTCTTAAAATTCCAACCTCCTGATCCTCCTCTTCCTCAGTTCAAGACTAGGTCATAAATGGCTATCTCTGGGGAGTCTTATCTACTTACTCTTACACTCAGGAATTTCCTGTTTCAAGTCCTATATAACTTGCTTTGTTCTCTACTCTTTTGTCATTGAGCCTGGTTCTGTTAGGCTTCATTTGTGTAACTCTGACCTCTCCAACTGTATCTATACCTTATGCCTTTCTTCCTTCTCCCCTCCCTCCTTTTCTTTCTTCCATAAATAATGAGTGAATAAATAATATGTGTCAGGCACTGTCCTAGACATCAGTGGTGCCATCTTTAGCAAATTGTGTGCCAGCCCTTATAAAACTTATTATGTAACAGAAGGTTGGGTGAGGGAATGACACTAGTACAATAATCATATTAATGAATGGGTAACTACAACTCTGACATGTGCTCTGGACAAAGTGTGTGTGTTGCTATGGCAGAGCCTAACAAAAGGAGATGACCTAGTGTAGGGAAATCAAGGAAGGTGTCCGCAAGCAAGTGACATTTAAAGTGGAGGCCTTAAAGCTGAAGAAAATCTTGTGTGGTTGAAGCCCAGAAAGATGGAAGTGGGACATGAACTGACACAGAGAGAAAACCATAGATTCTGGTGTCCACTTTCAGGGCAAAGGAGAGGATCGCCGAAGGGACAAGGCAGTTTCTGATGAGGCATCAGGACTTAGTAACTGTCACCACGTTAAATGCTCACACTGGCCACTGTGTGGAGAACAGAGTGGGGGAGTCAGGTAGAGTGGGTACAAGGAGACAGTTAGAAGGTGGCAGCGGTTCCTGGTAAAAGATGCTGGTGGCTTTCACAGGAAGGTGACTGAAATGGAGGGAAGTGGACAGATTCTTGAGGAACTTAGGAGACAAAGCTTACCAAGGCTCTCATGTCTTTGTGGGCACATAGTAGGGCTCCCTAAAGTGAATGAAGACAAGGATGTATTCTGGAGTCTATGGAAATGATAGTGGTGATAACATACTTTATTGCAAAAGAAACATATGGCATGGGTTGCTGATTTCCAAGACTACCCACACTTTGAGAATTTCAGAGCAAGAAGGCATTGCACACCTTGTCATAACCAAGTGGAGTCCTCAATTACCTAGGAGTAACAACTGCTAATAGTAATGAGCTTCATTAATCAAGGAGGCTTTGTAGGCTCTGGAGGCATACCTCAGACAAGTTATTTAAACTCTCTTTGCCTCAGTTTCCTGATCTGTAAATTGGGATAATAATAGTTCCTAATTTACAGGGTGATTGTAAGGACTGGATGAAACAATCCACATTTAGCACAGTGACTGAAACGTAAGTGCTCAGTATTAAAATAACGTTGTTATTATTAAATGGTATGAAAATTTCCATTTCATTAAAAAAAAAAAAGATCAAGAAGAACTGTTTAGTTGTTTTAAAAGATGTAAATAGCTCTCTAGAGGGTCATATAGCATTAAGCAACTTGCATAAAGACACACAGCTCTTAAGTGGTGAGCTGGTCTTTGATACCAATCTGTCACACCATAAGCTGTGGTTTTGATCACTGCGTAGTGGTCAAAACCATAAAAGTGAGAAAAAGGGACCATCTCCCTACCTGTCATTTTAAATTTAGAATGGATGCATGTTACAAGAGCTGGTTCTGCTGCTAGATCAGACTGTAGGCTAAAGAGAAGAGTCCATGAGGCATAGTGACCCTTATCCAGACGGTGACTAGACTGGTGATCTTGATGATTCATCCCATCCCACGTAAATGGTAATGGCTTCCATACCCTAGTGAGCACAGTATACTTGATTTCTAAGGTGCAGAGTCATGAAAATAAGAAAACCTTTCCAATTCTCCCGAGCACCTTTCAGAAGATCGAGATTGTACTACTATAGGGCCAAGCTTATAACATACTTTTCTCATGAAATACTCAACATCACTTGAGGTAGGTAGTATCGGGGCTCTTACTTTACAAATAAGAAACAGAGGCTTAAAGAGGTTAAATATTTTGCCCACATTAAGAAAGTGATAGAAGCAGCATATGGATCCAGTTCTAGTTGGTTACAGTGGCCTCCCCAAGCTGGGAAGCTTGTCTACATCTATGCTGCTCCTCCAGCCTGTGCTTGCTCAAAGTACCTGAGGCCCTCTCTTTTACTGAAAAGGATCTGATGCTAGTCATGTGCAACTAAGCATTTGCTCAGTTGATGACTACCTCTCCAGAGATTATTTAGCTTCTAGTGGTGTGCAGGATACGGCTTGTCCTGGCCCATGAGAGTTGACTGTTAAATTTTCAGGAATTTTGTGAGCCAGTAGATATCACAAGAGTAGTCTGAAATTGGCCACGATGGGAGTATTGACACTAGAGAAAGTGGCAAATACTGTGAAGTAGAGTTCCCCAATACTCGACTGTCTCTACCACCGCAATGGCTTCCATTGTCTTCTGTTAAAAAAATATCAGGCATTGGGGACCACTTAGCAAAGAAATAGGCAAGCACAGAGGAGCATGTGAAATCACGCCTGCCAGTGAGCCACCACCTGCCGGCTCTGTGCTTCTTTCTGGCCCACTGCTCCAGCAGGACAAGGAGCTTCCTGGCCTTGCTGAAAACATCGGCGCATCTCACCAGGGGAAACAGACACCAGAGCTAGAGCCATGTCAAAAATAAAAGGCCCAGTCAGCATTATAATGACAATAGGCATGGATATTTAAAGTTAGAAAAAGTCATACTTAATTTTTCAGAACTGCAGAATTTGTCCCTGACTAGGTAGAAGGACTCTTTATCACAGGGTGTTGTAAATCTAGTACCGAGCTTATAACATACTGCAATTTGCTAAAGAAGGCAAAGTGCATAGTTTTGAACACGCATGTTGTTCTTATTTTTATTGACATTATGGAATATAAGACTGTCTTTAGATATATAAGCAGCTTTAATCTTCTGGGGAAGAACCTCCAGTCTGTACTGCTTAACACTTCGTGCATGATAATCCCAGTCTCCTGAAAAGTTTTTAAGGGATAATAAGGTTTACCACTGTGCCTTGCAAATTTTAGACAATTACAATGCCCAGGGAATATTATTCCAAGATATCAGGTGAGTGATGACTATTGAGACAAAGAGAATTTAATTCATAAAAATATCGACACCAAACCCAACACTTAACCATTCCAAGTACCAGTTTCATCCAGTATATATTAAGGAAACTGAGCAAGGTCATCACTCAGGTTCCCATGCATGCTAATATTTTATTAATCTATGTCCCATAAAATGTAATATATTTCAAATGAAGTTTAAATTCTGTCCAGTCACAACATTTGCCACATGAAATATTATAATTTAAACATTAAATTCAAACTTGAAGGGGAAAAAAGGTAGTAAATATTAAATTTACTCTTGTATAGTTTTTAGGATTAAAATCACCTACTACAATCATCCCATCTCTTGATTATTCTCCACATTCTCTTCTAATTACTCTTACTGTATTTTCTAGGTTGTTTAACAAGCATGTCTATGTCCCCTGTGTCCTTATTTTAGTCCATGTATCTCTTCATGATTCAGCCCATTCTAACGAGAAAATACTGTTTTTAAAAAGACAAAAAACAAAGTTCTCACGTACCCCATGACGGTCCTCAAAGTACGCCAGGCTGGTTTTAGTTAAAACAAAGAAGCGGACTTTAAAGTTGGAGGGAGAAGTTCTTCTTTTTTGTTGGGATTTCTTGATGAGCTGCTCTTCTAGGAGGATAGAGTTGTTCATGATCCAATTCTTGAAAAGTGATGTGTCTTCAGCATCACCCCTCAGCACAACCAGAGGGAAGAGCTTCAGGGCAAGGAATAAAGTGAAGAGGCAGTTGATCTTGAGAGAGTTGCTCAAATGCAACTTGCCTCCAACGTTATCTTTCTATCAATGTTCAGTCAACATTGCTGAGCTTCTCCTCTGATGTCAAAGGCCATAACCACATCCTTTCGAAATTCACAAAACTAAGAGGCATATGTAAAAAAAAAATACTCATACTTTTTACTGTATATTTGAACAACTTTAGACTCAGTGATATGAAGGATTCGCGTTTAATCTTAATAGTTCCTGGGTTAGCCCATCCAAAAGTTAATGCATGAAGCACAAGGAGTAGGAACATGGGCTTTGAAGCCAATAGGCATAGTTTGTGTACTAGTTTCCTGTTGCTGCTGTAACAAATTATCACTAACTCAGTGACTCGCAGATGTGTTACTATACTGTTCTGTAGTTCAGAGCCCAAAATGGATCTCACTGGGCTTCAAGCAAGATGTCAGCAGGGTTGGGAGCCTTTCTGGAGGATCTCTAGGGTGGAATCTGCTTCCTTACCCTTTCCAGCTTCTAGGACCACCCACATTCCTTGTCTTGTGGTCCTTTTCCTCGATCTTCAAAGCCAAGAACAAACACGTCAAGTTCTCTCATCTCATACAACTATAAACCCTTCTTTGGCCTCCCGATTCCATCCTTAAGGACCCCTGAAATTACCCTGGGACTTCCTGGATAATCTAAAATAACCCACCTATTTTAAGGTAGTTATCAGCAACCTTAGTTCCATTTTATATCTTATTTCCCTGTTGCCATGTAACCTAACATAGTGATAGATTTCTGGGATTGGGACATGAGTATCTGTAGGGGAGCCATTACTTTACCTCCACAGTTCGAATTCTGGTTCCACCACCTTACTAGGTATGAAACTAGGCAAATCACTCAAGAGCTCTGAGCCTCATTTTCTCATCTGTGAAAGGGAGGAACAGGGCCCCTACACAAGGCACTGCAGGGCTGCTCTCTGGCTTCCTTACCTCTCACACCTCGCTCATGCATCTGCCCACCAGCCCTATGCGTGCTCCCTATGCTCCTCCAAGCACCTGCGTGTTTTCCCTGAACACATCTTCTCTCCCTACTCTGCCCGGTTAACTCTAAAGTATACTACAAGTCGCTGCCTACATGTCACTTCCTCGGAGAAGTCTTCTGGTTTTCCTAAGTCAAATCCACCAATAATACCCAGATGGCACCTTAGACCTTTCTCTTCATACCACGTATGGTAGTTGTAATTGTACATTTTGGAGGGTGATTTTTGAATTAATGTTTGTCTCCCACACTAGTCTAGAAAGTCCATGATGGTCAGGATTATGTGTGGTTTTGCTCATTATTATATGCTCAGCAACCACCGCAGTGTCTAGCACATAAATAGGATGTTTAAGAAGAATCTGTTGAATGAATAATCACCAAACCAGGTGGGATGATTAAAAGAGACAAGGAGCATAAAAGACTTACGAGAGATACATTGAAGTTTATTATTTTAAATTTTAAATAAAAGCCCATAGAAATCTCTCTATGCTACAGGCAGATAATTACTTTTCTATCCCCAAACAGAAAATAAGGTAAATCTTTCAGAATAGTATGACAAACGACGTGTGCATGGGCTCTGAAGATAGACAAGAGTATGTTGGAATCCTAATTCTGTCATTTACTAAGCTGTTTATGTCTGAGTGAGCTGCTTACCCTCTCTGATCCTTTTCCTTGTGAGGGTCCTTTTGAGAACTGAATCCCACAAACTCTGTGAATGGTGGATGCTATTTATCTTGCCTTAGAACTAGTACATATTTGACGTATAATACGTGAGTACTAATTCTAGCATGAATAGCCAAGAAATATCAATGTAAGCAGGGAAGGCATATACTGGACAGAGATAAATAATGAAACAAATCAATCATTATTGCTGTATAGGAGTGCAATCATCTAAAATTTCTTTTAAAAACAAAATGAGCAGATTACAGCTTAATGTTGTTTCATATATTGGCTGCCCCAGCATAATCGAGACACTTTAAATGATCCCTCCTCCCCCTTTCTAAGGTTTTTTAAGACATATTTCCAAAAGAAATAGTCTTTTTTTTTTTTGCTTCTGAAGTGGACTTGAGACAGTGATTGCTATTTTCTATAAATATCTACTCTCCTCTTCTTGCCAGGTGACTGACCCCCATAAGGTTACCTGAACATCTGGCCAGCCAGAATAAAGATTACATTTTTAAGTCATGTAGCTGTTTTCTAGCTAATGGAACATAGCAGAAGTGATGAGTGTGACTTCCAAGAAATGTCCATAAGAGCACTCATCATACCATTTTCATTCTTTCTTTTCTTTTTGCTGACTAGAATGTGGATGTGATGGTTGGAGCTGGAGCAGCTATGTTATTATATCAACAGGTAGAAATGATATGTTGAGGCAACTGCACATGAGACAGAAGGAGCTTGGGATTCTGATAACCTTGGATTCTATAGGCCAGCCTCAGAGCACTTTTATTTTTTTGCATTTATCTTCAGATAGAGTGGGAGGGAGAGAGGGGGGAAGACAGAGAGAGAAACATCGATGTGAGAGAGACATCGACTGGTCGCCACCCACACGACCCCAACTGGGGCTGGGGACAAACTGCATCCGAGGTACATGCCCTTAGTGAGAACCGAACCCGGGACTCTCTGGTCCACGGGCCGACGATCTCACTGCTGAGCCAAACTGGCCAGGGCCTGGGAGCACTTTTTGTTTTTGTTTTTGAAGCATAAATAGAAATACATTTACATTTCCTGAGCCCCTGTTATTTTGAAGCTCTGTCATAAGTAACAAACCTAATTCTAATACAGTGCTATCTATATTCCAAACTAGACTGTAAACGCCTTTGAGAAGGGGGATTTATACCTGGTTTGCTCGGGTTGAAAGACTTACAGACTTCACATAGTACATTATGCAGGAAAGCAAAATATCATCAGTAGGTATTGTGGTAGGAACCTTTCATTTGCTGAGTCTCCACAGAGTGCAGTTGTAATTTTATTCCTTCTCATAGCACCTTCAAGCCCACTCATTGGGATTGGGCTTTGTCCTCACCTAAACCTTAAGATCCCAATATTTTCTTTACTACTTTCAGGAAAATATACATGAAGATAAATGATCCCTTTGATTTGGTTTAAAAAGTTCAGTTCACAGGAGCCAAATTCAAGAAGCTCCCACTGACCAAAGATAAAAGAATTTGGGCGTGAAAAAGAACAATAACAGCAATGAACCGAAGAACAGCCCACATGATCAAATCATGGGTTCATAAGATATCTGAAGAAAAATCTCAACCCATCGATCACTTTGGGAAGATGCCGGAGAACCAATTTATTATTCTGAAAACTGGGACACCAAGAAAAAAGAATAAATCGTATTTCTGTTTTCCCGAGGAACTCTTTCTCAGTTTAGTAGTCGAATATTTAATAAGGAAAAGTCCTTTAGAGAAGAATTCCAGCTAACACATGACGAAGTGATAGAATATCACCACTTTGCAAACCTAATGATATAATGAGTCTGGGCAATTGTCATCAATGAATACTAAAAGTATGTGAAAAGCCACGAGGAAGATATGTAATGTATGTATTAGACTGATCACACTGTCACACACCGATCAATCTTTACCTCACAAAAAAGAGACAACTAGACATTCTGTTTCCTGCTATGATGTAGTAGGAAGCACACAAACCACCCACGCAGAGGTCTTGCCAAAAAAAAAACCCCAAAACATGAATCTCATCAGACCTGTAGATCTATATCCAAGTTTACAGGAAATACAGGAGATAGAGAAACATGACAAATGCTTGGGGATACAACTGGATAAGTCCAAAAGGCACAAAATGTTAAAGACAAAGGGGCCACGTCGGCAACAAGTTAAGTCAGAGAGAGGACCTATACATTGGAAGAGATTTTAAGACATGTCAAGCATAGGATGATCTTCTTTGGATGTAGATTCAAACAAATTAAGTGTATAAAGACATTATGAGACTTCACATATTTGATGATTAACTAATCATTATTCATTAATTAAAATGTAATTGTTATTCATCTTTAAAAGTATGGTCATGGCACTGTTGTGATGATAAAGGAGTCTTTATTTTGCACAAAAACATACTGAAAAAACTATTGCTGAAATAATAGAATGAGAGTTGCTTTGTTATAATCCAGTGGAGAGGGAGAAGTAGGTAGGGGAAGAGAAAAAAACTGTTTGGCCAGGCGTTGACAACTGTAGCTGAGTGATGAGTAGGTGGGAATACTTTGTTCTATATTTTTTACATTGCTATATGTTTGAAATTTTCCATAATGAAAAGTTAAGGGGAAAAAAAAGGCCTATCCAGTTCAGTATAATAATCAAAACTCCAAACACGCATTTAATTTAATGCTTTTTTCTCAAGCTAAGTATGGTTCTGCTTCAGGCTTTGAAGCATGTTACCTTTTCCACTGGGTCCTAACTCCTCCTCCTTCACCATACCCTAGCCAGGCTCCCAACCTACCCTTCAGGCTCCGGTGTGGGGAGGAAGAAGGGAAAGAGGCACAGCATTCAAAGAGACAACAGCTATAATCTGCGGTTGATGCCCTCTGAATATGGTTGATACACCACAGGACACTCTGGTTGTGTGTTTTGTTGTTGTCATTATTTTCAGAAGGCCCTGACCATAGTTCTCTTGATGCGGGAGATGCCTCTCTGGCCGATGAGCCCAACCCTCAGCCCTTGGGCTTCTATAGGTCCACCTCCAGGGTCCCTCCTGCTCCCTCCAACTCTGTCAGGATCCCTTTGCCCATCTTGGTTATTCTCTTGGGTGATTTTTCCTTGAAAATGAGCTGCACACCACTTATTCCCTCCTACTCTACTTGAAGACTCGAGCATCATTGGCCTGCTGTTAATGGATGTACCTCTTGCCCCAGTACAGCCCCTCTCCCTTTGATGTCAAATACACAGCTCTTCCTCAAGCCTTCGCCATTCCATTCCTCCCAGTGGGGTTTAGACCCAGTCCTTATGTCTCCTAAACTCTGAGACTTATGCCAAGGAGGTCTCTTAAAGTCCCTGTCACTTGGCTTCTGGTGGATG